CGGCAGCGCGTGCGCGCGGCCCGTGAGGCGGCGGTAACATGGCGGCGGCGGGGCGGGAGGAGCCGCCGCTGGGGCTCGAGGCGGTCGCGGAGGAGGCGGCGGCAGCGGCGGCAGCGAGCGCCGGGTTCCGGCTCACGGCGGTGCGGCGAGAGCCGGCGGTGCGGCTGCAGCACGGCGCCAGCGGGTTGGAGCCGCTGGCATGGTCCGAGGATCACCGGGTGTCGGTGAGCACGGCCCGCAGCATCGCCGTGCTGGAGCAGCTCAGCGACGTGCACAGCGGCGGGCAGGACATGGTCATCCACCGCACCGCCGTGCCCGCGCCCGCCGCCGCCTGCATGCTCAAGGTGAGCGCCTGGCACGGCCTCGTCGGTGTGTGTGAATGTCTAAAGGGGGAGGTGCGGGTTGGACATCTGGGGTTCCCTCACGGGAGGGGCGATCGGGCTCGGAATGGGCTGCCCAGGGAGCTCGGGGAGCCACCGGCCTCGGAGGTGTTCAGGGATCGACTGGAGGCGCACTCAGGGCTCGGGCTGGGTGACAAGGTGGGGATCGGGCACAGGCTGCCCTCCGTGATCCCAGAGGCTTTTCCAGCTTTAATGGTTCTGTGGTTTTCACCATGGTGCCGAGCAATAAGACAAGAGAAACGAGCATAAACTGAAAGACACAGAGCTGCACCTGAACACGAGAATAACTTTTTCCTGTGCAGAATCTGGAGAGGGTCTGGAGTCTTTCCCACTGTGGTCCCTTCTAGCCTGACCCATCCTGGGATTCTGATCCTTCTCTTGGGGAGCTGCCCCTGCCCTGCCCAGAACTTGCTGCAGGCTCTCATTTTAAAAGCACAGGAGAGAAAAAACCATATCCCAGTCATTTCCAGGGATTCTGAAGTTCTGCTGTTTTCTGAGAATCACTTGAGCTCCAGTACAGTTATTTCACTACAATTTTAAGTAGGAATCTTCCTTTGTTTTGCTACCTAAGCTGAAGGATTTTTGCAGCAGGGATTTCTCTGGCCTTCAGGGGAACATCTGACTTCTCATGAAAATGGCAGATGTGGGTGGATATCTTATTATTTAATACTTTTGTTGTTGTGAATCTGATTTTATTTTCCAAAACAATGCTGAGAATATGGAATGGAGTTGAGATACTGAGTATTTACATATTATGCCAGGTATCTTTAAAAGAACAAAAGCATGAAAACAGGCTCTTTGATTCAGCAGACAAAAATTCAGTAGCTGAGAGTCAAAACTATGCAAATTCAGGGCATTAATGAAGCTGAAGTCTTTAGGAGTGACACCAATTAACCAGGGTGGTGTTGGTTGTGATTGGGGATGCTCTGTTTGAAGAGAGAATTAATTCCAGGAAAGTCTTCCTAAAAAAAAAGCACCTGTACAATAGTTTTAAAGGCTCTTTTTGTTCTCTTTTAGGTCGGCCCAAAGAAGGAGGTGGCTGAGTGTAAGGAGAAATTCGCCAGCTCAGTGGATCCCACCGTCAGCCAGACCTTTATGCTGGACCGAGTGTTCAACCCCGAGGGGAAGTCCCTGACCCCCATGCGGGGTTTCAAATATTCCAGCTGGTCCCCTCTGGGCTGTGACGCCAACGGGAGGTGCCTGCTGGCCGCCCTGACCATGGACAACCGCCTGACCATCCACGCCAACCTCAACCGGCTGCAGTGGGTGCAGCTGGTGGACCTGACCGAGCTCTACGGCGAGCGCCTCTTGGAGGCTGGCTACAGACTGTGCAAGGCTGACGCTCCCTGCGGGGAGCTGGGAGATTTCCCCGAGTTCCAGCGGCGGCACAGCATGCAGGCCCCGGTGCGCATGGAGTGGTCGGGCATCTGCACCACCCAGCAGGTCAAGCACAACAACGAGTGCCGCGACGTGGGCAGCGTGCTCCTGGCCGTGCTCTTCGAGAACGGCAACATCGCCGTGTGGCAGTTCCAGCTGCCCTTCCTGGGCAAGGAATCCATCACTTCCTGCAATACCATCGAGTCGGGAATAAGCTCCCCCAGCGTGTTGTCCTGGTGGGAGTACGAGCACAACAACCGGAAGATGAGCGGGCTGATCGTGGGCAGCGCGTACGGCCCGGTGAAGATCATCCCTGTCAACCTCAAGGCGGTCAAAGGCTACTTCACGCTGAGGCAGCCCGTGGTCTTGTGGCAGGAGATGGACCAGCTGCCCGTGCACAGCATCAAATGCATCCCTCTCTACCACCCCTACCAGAAATGCAGCTGCAGCCTGGTGGTGGCTGCGAGAGGCCCTTACGTGTTCTGGTGCCTCCTGCTGATATCCAAAGCGGGGCTGAACGTGCACAATTCCCACGTGACGGGGCTCCACTCCCTGCCCATTGTCTCCATGACTGCGGACAAGCAGAACGGCACGGTGTACACCTGCTCCAGCGATGGCAAGGTCAGGCAGCTCATCCCCATATTCACAGACGTTGCTTTAAAGTTTGAGCACCAGCTGATAAAGCTCTCGGAGGTGTTTGGCTGTGTCAGGACTCACGGAATCGCCGTCAGCCCCTGCGGGGCGTACCTGGCGGTCATCACCACCGAGGGCATGGCCAACGGGCTGCACCCGGTCAACAAAAACTACCAAGTTCAGTTTGTCACCCTCAAGACTTTTGAGGAGGCAGCTGCACAGCTCTTGGAATCTTCTGTTCAGAACCTTTTCAGGCAAGTGGACTTGACGGATCTTGTGCGCTGGAAAATCTTGAAGGATAAGCACATTCCTCAGTTCTTACAGGAGGCACTGGATAAAAAGATAGAGAGCTGTGGTTCCACTTACTTCTGGAGGTTTAAGTTGTTTCTCTTGAGGATTTTGTACCAGTCGATGCAGAAAGCCCCCTCAGAGGTCACGTGGAGACCTTCACACGAGGATGCCAAAATCTTGATATCAGATTCGCCTGGGATGGGCAGCACTGAAGATGATCAAGAGGAAGGAACTTCAAAACAAGCCAGCAAGCAGAGCCTGGGGGACACAGGCAAAGGTGTGGACATTGATGACACTGCAGAGGATTCTCTCCATCAGTCAAGTGACACTGGAGGCCGTGAGCCAATGGTAGAAAAACTTCTTGAAATACAGGCACAGATTGAGGCTGTAGAAATGCACTTGACACGAGAACACATGAAACGGGTGTTGGGAGAAGTTTACCTGCACACGTGGATTACAGAGAACACCAGCATTCCCACCAGAGGAGTCTGTGACTTCCTAATGTCTGATGATGGCTACGATGACAGAACAGCACGAGTAAGTGGCACCTCTGCTCCAGGGATTCTGTGTCACTGTCACTTCCTTCTCCCCACTCCTGAAAATACAGCTGGGCTGGGAATGAGAGCTGTGGTCATGTCATCCTTGCCAGTGAGATTCTGTAGAACATTCAGCTTAAATTGTCCTTCCTTGATATTGTGGAATAGGAGGGAATGTAAATACAGATGTTGAAATTTGGATCAGGTACAATAAAGAACAAAGATGCTTGAGTTCTTGGAGAACTGGGGAGAGGACTGGGGTTACTGTGCTTCTGTCAGTGGGTTTAGAACATGAGCTGATTGAGGGATGTTTGTTTTCATTACTCAGTTTATTTAATCCATCCTCTTTGCACAAGTCAACTTCAGGTGTATTTCCTCTAGTCACTCACACTGCAGTTCTGATGTTAAGAGCTGGTGTAGTGTGGTGTTCTCCCTGCTGGCATCACAGCCAAGTGTGGCCATCAGTAACTCACTAGGAAAGTGCTCTGGCAACTGCTGGGTTGTTCTGGCATTCAGTTAATATGAATTGAAAGTTTGAGAGTTTGCTTTTCTTATCTTAGAAGAATCTTGGTTCTTTTTTATAGTGATGAAAAGCATCTTCTAAATTGTATTTTATCTATTCAGTTTGCTGTCACACTTTAAAGGTCCCTGGGATGTGGTTTATATCTATTGAAATGTCACAGACAAATTTGATCACATAAATGCTCTGCTATAAACATTGTACTCCCAGATGAGTGCTGAAGACATCCAGGTAATTTCTGAACAGGAATTGTTTTTTAGCACATCCACTGTGATAGGCATGAGGGAAAGCATTGCTGTTATGGTCAGTGGTGTGCTATCAGTTCTTTCAGTACTTTTAAAATTTGCAAGGAATTACTATTTTTAAAGTCTATATCCCTTTAGTGTGAGACAGAAATCTTTAAGAGAACAAAAGGAAAATAAATGAATACTTACTGATACATTGTATTTCTTACACTTTGATTTTTTGGAATTCAACTTATTCTGTGTCACTCTGAAATCACAGTGAGGTGTTCCCACCCTGGGCTGTGTGGCTGAGTGCCTCCTGTGTGTTGCAGGTGCTGATTGGGCACATCCTGAAGAAGATGAACAAGCAGACCTTCCCCGAGCACTGCAGTTTGTGCAAGGAGATCCTGCCCTTCACCGACCGCAAGCAGGCCGTGTGCTCCAACGGCCACATCTGGCTCAGGTAATGGCTGAGGCACCCGGAGCTTGTCCCCTCTGGGCAGTTCAGAGATTCTTCAGGAGCTCACTGAGCCACTTGTTAGCACTGGAGTGAAAAGGCATGAAGCATCTTAGCCATGCTGCAGTTTTTTTCTGTTCTCTTCCATAAGAGCCAGGGCACTGGAGGTTGGATTTGGTTCTCTCTTAGCAGGATAGTGTTTTTATAGTAAAATGCTTTTGAGCATGTTTTTTTGGGGGAATATGGGGTCAGGGAGAAAGCAGGCAAGGGAAAATCAAGGACAAGTCATCCTTTGGAACATCACTTGAGGGAAGGTTTGTTCAAGCTCCTTCAGCATTTGAAAAGAAAATCAGTTTAACAAGAAATGATTGAGAACAGGCACATTGAAAGCCAGGCAAATGAAATGAAATTTTAGAAAATTACATAATTAGAATTTGAAATTTTAGAAAATGAAATCTTCCTGTACCAGTGTGGGAGGTGCATGGAGATTGTCCCTGGAGCTGTGACAAGTCACCAGTTTGTCACAGAGAAAAGCTGTGCCTAACAGGTTTTGTGTGCTAGTTTGGGTAAATAGTCATGGCCTTAAGGACACCCTGGTTCTTCCTTGTGCAGTAGGGCCTCAAGCTTTTCAGCTCCTCTAGTGTATGCTAGAATTTTTTTGTCAATGATATATTGAGTTTTGACCTTTCATTTTTGTGTCCATATGCAATTTGGTACACTTGGGAAGTTTACCTGAATTAATAAATTATTAATTTTCATATTTAATGTGGTTCATTACTGCCTTTACTCTCAGAAAGCAAATTGTGAACAGAACTGAACTCCTGGTCAGGGCACAGGAGCAGGTCATAAAGCAGTAAACCCCAAACCTCTTGATAAAACTGCTTGTCCTTTCACAGGTGCTTTCTCACCTACCAGTCCTGCCAGAGTTTGGTGTACAGGAGGTGTTTGCTTCACGACAGCATTGCACGGCACCCAACCCCAGAAGGTAAAATGTCCCTGGGGCCAAAAGAGGCAGGATTGGGGCTTTTTAACTGTTATCTACAAAATGGCTTGAGTTAGTTTCACTGATTTCACTCTTTTAGGCAATTCCCATGTGAAGCTCTGCATTTCACAGTGTCCTGGTGTTGTCTGGGCATTAGTGACATGTTAATTGCAAATTAATAAACTGCAGGAATTGAGGTATAAATCCCACATTTTAATGAAATCTGGGTAAACATATAATCTGTGCTGGAATGCTCCAGTAGTTAGTTTGATATTCAAGTTGAATATATCAGCATCCAGTTCTGTAAGAGGGATAAAGAAACAGGAACCAAGGACTGTGTTATGTGAGGGATCTAATTTCAGTTCAGAAAATGAGAACACTGCAGTTGGGCCATGATGATCCTTTACATTTTTTTCCTATATAGCTATGAGCATGTAAGGATAAAGCATGGAGTTTTCACCTTAATTGTGTCCCCTGCTGAGGTGGAATTTAATCTGGCAGTACTTGAAATTTCAGAGCAGAAACAGAGTTGGATTTCACTGAATTCTCAGTCACTCCTGCATGTGAATATATACAAACTGTCCAGGATTCCTGTTGAGTTTGTGCATCTCAGGTGTCATTCCTCTGTTCATCTCTGCCTCCAGATTTAAACAACTTGTTTTCTTATTTGCAGATCCTGAATGGATCAAGAGGTTATTGCAGGGACCTTGCACCTTCTGCGATTCTCCTGTGTTCTAGAGAAAAGCTGTGTCAAGACTAAAAGTATTTTCTCTACTGCATAAGCTCCCTTCAGCCTGGGAGGATACAGAGACAGGAACACAGACTCTGCTGGAGGGAGAACACCTTGTCCACAGCCCTGTACATAGAACATCACAGGTTCTACAAACTCCTGAAATCCAGAGCCCATTCCATGCTCCAGAAACAGGAATGCACCTGGAAGAGCCAGTTTAAAGCTGTTTGGAAATGCACCCAAGGAAGCCTCAGCAGCTGGACACTGACAAGGAACTGGAGGGTTGAGCACAGTGGGAATTGTCCTTTCTGCCTGACACCAGTGTCAATTCCCAAAAGCTGGGATGGGAACAGCAGAGCTGCCTCTTGAATGGTCTTGGTGGTAGAGAAGGCTCCAGCTTGCACTGCTCTCCTTTGCTTTTTAACCACCCTGGCATTTGCTGTAGAACATGGAACTCTCCAAATAATCCATGGTTCCAGTGTCTTGCCCAGAGGAGCAGATCCCAGTTACAGCCCTATGAGAGAATTTGGCCATTACATCAATTTCACTGAAAGTCTAGAAGAGTAACTGCCTCAGAACTGTAACAGTGTTTCAGTCAGAAGGGCGATACTGGCTGCCTGGGATCAGTAAGAATAATTTTTAAATATAATAATAATAATTATTATTAAACTAATAGCAATTAGCTTAAACACTAATATATATACATATATAGAATTTCCAATGCTCTTAAGTCTCTTGCCCCACTTTCTTTTTCTGAACTAAGTTCTAACTCCTTCCCAGCTCTTGCCAAAGTATTTGCCTTTGGTTTCACTTAACCCTCTACCAAGAGGAACCTCTTTTCCAGAGAAACTCAGTTACCAAAAGCATTACCAATTAACACTACTGTCAATTAAATTGAGAGTCTCCCTCATACAGCACTTGAGTTTTATACAAATCTGACACACAAATAATCACTCCCAGCTGACAGTTTTTCTTTTCATAATAGCTCAGTAAAAAGCCCCAAACAAACAGAAGACCCCAAATCCAACCCCACACCCAGCCCCACCATGGCTGACATGCTCTGGGTAGGGCCAAGGAGGCTGCTGAAGCTCTTTGTGTATCCCAGGATGGTTTGGGTTGGATGGGATCATGAAGCTCATCTCATTCCACCCCTCTCATGGGCAGGGACACCTCCCACTGTCCCAGGCTGCTCCCAGCCCTGTCCAGCCTGGCCTTGGACACTTCCAGGGATCCAGAGGCAGCCACAGCTGCTCTGGGCACTCTGTGCCAGGGCCTGCCCACACTCACAAGGAAGGATTTGTTTTTAATATCCCATCTAACCCTTTTGAAGCCATTCCCCCTTATCCTGTCACTCCAGGCTCTTGTAGAATTTCTCCATTTCAAGTGGCCGAGTCCAGAAATTTATTTTGCCTTCTAATTGTCCTATCAGAAAAACCATCTATTTTTTGCCATCTGTTCCTACAGGGAGCAGAATCCTTTTCAACCTCCTATGCAGTGTTAGAGGAATAATACCTCCCAAATGTGTGTGGTTACTTGGTACAGTTTGTCTTGTTGACTTCAATCCATGCTGTCAAATAATCCTGAGTTTGTGTATTTCCATTCTGCAGAGTACCAATCGCAGAGGTGTCGCCCTGTCTGTGATTCCTGACACTTCCACTGTGTGGGAAGTGCTCTACAGCTGTTGAGAGATCATGGAATTGTGCTGACATTATCAGTCTCCCACCAGTGCATGTGTGATTGGTGCTTGTTTCCTCCATTCAATGACTGTGCATATTTTGTTAATGTTCCTTCACCTTTAATAGGAGCAAATTTATTTTCAGCAAACATTAAAGAAGTCAGCTGTCCTTCTGCTCAGTGTCTCATGCATTAAGCATGATCATGCAGTGACTGAGAAGAACATTACTGAAGTAGCCTAGAAACAGCAGAAGCACATTCATCTGTAAAATAATTAGCCTTGTTTGTAAATATCCTTGGAAGTGATACCATAATTGTATTAAAGAAACATTTAGTTTTTTATTGCTGTGCATTGAAAATTGAAATTACTTCAGTGTGTCTGCAGAGAAGAGAAATGTAGCTCGTGTTGGTATCCAGTAAAACAAGGAGTAACCTCGATACCCAACGTGTGTGAGTTTGGGCCAGCTCTGGTACCTGGGACAAAATTCCAGTGCTGGTGGGGCCTGGGGGAACAGAACATCCCTTTTCATATGAGCTGAGTAGGGGTTTATTCCTGGTGGTGGAGAAGGCTTTTTAAATGGAAGCTGCAAGTCCTTGCCCTGGCAGCTGTGACAGCTCATCAGTAAATGTTCCAGTTTAGAAATTCTCCTGCCTGTGGAGAAGGGGAGGGAGCCCTGCAGAACCCTGTCCCAGTGCTTTCAGAAAAGTCAAAGAAATGTTCTTTGGCCATGGCTTAGGCACCATAAAAATATCCTGAGCTACTGAAATGTTTAAGTCTGGCTGACCCAAAGGTTCACATGATAACAGTTTAGATTGGTTCTTGCTGATCATTTCTGGCAGTTCTCTTGAATTTCTCTGAACTGAATTTTAATGGTTTGTCATGGAGAAGCTCTAGCACACCTCACATTAACATTGCAGCATTAATGTGTATTTTCCCTGTCTTTCAAGGCACTAGATGCCCAGTCTGCCATTGCCAGTTTATTTAACCTGGTTTCAGACTTCTGGGAAAATGGAATTTTAAAGCCAACGATGTTGTCTTTGTCTGCCAGTGGAAATCCTTTAGCAAAAAGCTTCCACTCTTCCCCCTGACCTGTTCACAACAGGTACAGAGGAATTGGGATTTCATTTTTGTGTAAACCAGCACTTGTCCCTAAGTGCATTTTTAGCCAGAATTGCAGAGCCCACCTCACTCAGTAACATTTAACCCCTGGTGCTGACCTGAGTGGGTTTGGCTGCCCAGCGAGCGCTGAGGCTGCTCCAGGAATCTTTTTATGCCTCAGATTTGTGAGGGGCAGTTCTGGTCATGCAAGGGTTGGTCCTACTCTTGTCCTGATCCAACCTTGCTGTCACCTCACAGGGAAGGGGAGCAAGAACGAGCACCTGCTGCCAGAGCCTTGTGTTATTTTGCCATTATCAGAGCTGCCTCCTCAAACCAACACATCTATCAAGGCCCAGTCTGTTTTGAGACACCAAGTGAAGTGTTCAAAGAACAAATCCCACAGAACTGGAGTTTATCTCTGTAAGTTTTTGCCCAAGTTTTGCAGGATACTTCAAACAAGTGAATAGTTGGAAGACGTCAGCTGCCTCACCATTTGGTGGTGAACACTCTGGCTGTTCAAAGACCCTCATCCCCAGAGGGAGAGCAACATTCCAGCAGAGACTGAGGGTTCCTGCTGCTCTTTTTTATTTTTTTAATGGATTATGATACTTGCAGCTGAGAATTAACAGGCAGACATCCTGTTTGTCCAGAGCTAAGGTGTCATTTTCCTTGAAGAGGAGCTTCTGACAGCATTTAAGATTTGCTGCTCACGCTGGTATCACACTGGGAGTTAATCCCTCCTCCACTGGGATGAAGAAATCATACCCTTGGCTAATCCAAGTTGGATGGAGAAGTGGAACAGCTCTGGATTGTACAGTGTCTTGGTACTAGGTGCTATTCTTGGAACTAAGGAGGAAGTTTGGGGTCACAAGGACTCAGTCCTGTGTCTCCAAATTACACCTCCTGCTCTGGGATTGGTGGTGAGGGACCTCATTGCTGCCTTTCACCTCAGTTCACTTATGGCTCTGGGACTTCATCATTCACCCTCTCCTTTGGTGTTTCCTCACTCTCTTAATCCTATTGTGTATGTCTAGAGAGGAAATACTGTGGTTGTCAGTGCATACATAAAGAAATAAATATTCCCTGGGAGGGAGGAGGAGGATGAGCCATCCCTGCTCCTCAGAGTCCTCACCACAGAGCAGGTTGGGGTCAACTCCATTCCCTGAGCAGCATCCAAGCCTCACAGGGAAAAGTGAGAGCAGGGGAATCCTTGGAGAGCCACAGGGAGTCCCTGCAGAGGTGCTGCTGGAGGAGGGGATCTCCTGCCTGGGGGTGTCCAAGTGCCTTTCCACCACTGTCTGGAGCTGGGGGACACAAAACTTTGTGGAACATTTGGACAAATCGACCTTGTTGCTAAACTCCATAATTAACAGCATGACTTATTATAACTTCCAGCACAAGCTCCAGGCAGCCCTCTCCACAAAGTGTCTCTGGGAAGCAGAGTGATGGAAGATGTCCATTCCAGACCTGGGCAAAGCTGTGCAATCAGTAACGTCTGATCCCTGCTGTGCTCCTACCACCTCCTCTTCACCTTGTTTTTCTCATTGCTCAACATTTGTTTTGCCAGAATAAGATGCTAATAAAATCACGCCTAGTTACCAAATTGGTTTTCAAGTGTTGCATTCCAATTATAAAAGCCTAATTCCTGCTTCCACCCACTGAACCTTTTTGGTATTAACAGGCTTTACTATGCAAAGTCATGCAGGGGCTGTTTCGTTTACAGTAATTAAATGAATGTCAATTGTTTTAGTTGTTTCTGAGGGAGAGTTCTACATGAGTATTAGCATGTTCTGCTAACCCTGACGTTCTGCACTTCAGGCCTGCTGCAAACCCTTGGGGGTTGACCACTGACCTGAGACTCCTACCCAGACATGCCAAGTGCATCTCAATGAGACTGAGCTCTTTTTCTCAGTTTCTATGGAACCAGCGGAGCGGAACTAATATAGCATCCGCATATAGATGAAAGAATGAAGAGGAAAAAGGGCTTTACAGCTAAATTAATTAAGCAGATGTACCTGTCTAATTAAAGATGCACTGTCCCTTTTGTACCCTAGCTGCAGTACAAACAGTATTTAAATACACTCTCTATCCATTTCATCTATCAAAATATTTAGTAGGAACGCTCAGATGAAGGTGATATTAGCAAGATGAGCTTCCCATGTATTATTAATAGAAGGGCTCCCAATTATGCATGAATGCTGCAGCACATCTTCATAGCAATGGCAGAAAACCCAG